GGCCCCTGTGCTTGGGTTTGTCCCAACAGCCCACAAAGTGCTGCTGGAGCTGTACAGAAACCTGGGAATTCCAGGGCAAGGCCCATGGGACCCTTCCTGTTGCAGAGGTCGTTACATGTGAAATTCTCACGGAAATAGTTTCTTGTGGAGGAAATAAGCCCTTTTTGGAGGGTAAGGGTGAGGGAGTGTTTTGGTTTCTCCAGCAGATCAGCTGGACAGCAACATCACAGGTGGCCCAGGGAAGCTGTGGGTGCCCCATCCCTGGAGGTGTCCAAGGCCAGGATGGATGGGGCTTGGAGCAACCTGATCTAGTGGAAGGTGTCCCTGCCCATGGCAGGGGCTGGGACTGGATGAGCTTTAAGGTCCTTCCAACCCAAACCGTTCTGTGATTCCATGATAAGACCTTCTTTTGTGCCTTGCCATTAAATACTCTGGTGCAGAAAGCTGCTCCTGAATGACTTGGGAGGCTTTTCTCATCCAGAATCAGTTAATATTCCCCTTTTGGTAAGCAGTGAAGTCTCTGTTTGGCACCAGGCTGCAGTGATGTGGAAGGTGAAACCAGGGAGGAGTTACTAGATGGGAAACAAGCACTTCCAGATTAGTGTCCTGTAATTCAGCTGCTTTTTAAAGATCTCCTGGCACTTTTGCCCTTCCCAGATTTACAGGTAATCAGCCTGGCCCTGGCTGGAAACTCTTACAGCTCCGGGGGCTTTAGGATCTAAAGACAGACGTGTTGGGTGAGGGATTAGAGCATGGCGGGGGCTGGGGGAGGTACCAGGCTGGGGACATGTCACTTTAAGTCCCACCAGGCACAGGCTGTAACCCAGCGAGTAATTCCAACCCCAGCTCTAATTTTACTCTGCAGCTTCATGAGCTGCACCGACTTCTCCGAAACGAAGGGCGTTAGTAGAGCTAAGCTGAGCTGAGCCCAGGAAGATGTCATCATCCCATATTACCATGCCAAGAATAATTTGCAGATTAAGTCCTGGCTGTTATGTCACCACCAGCGGTGGTTGCGTGGGTGACAGGCTGAGGACAGGGGACAGCCCATACCAGGGCTTGTTTGTAGGAGTTGTGGGGCACCCAGATCCCGAGTGCAGCTGAAATTCAGTGCTGCCTGGAAGATACCCCCAGGAGCTCCTCTGCTTGGCCATTCAGTGCCCTGGAGCTGATCACCCGAGGGGCCTGTAGGGACCAGACGTTGCACTGGAATGACTGTCACAGGTCACAGGGAAGCCATCGCTTCGGTAACAGTCACTGTGTCACAGAACCTTGTCTGGCAGCCCTGAGGTGTGGGGGCTTCTGGGCTGACCCCACTCACAGTTCCCATGTGTGAATTTCCAGGGGTGCTTCCAAGCTGTGCAGAGCTGTCTGGAGTTTGCACTGAGCTCCAGGACCTCCTCATGGAGACAGCAAGTGTCTGCCTACCTCCTAAGCAGGTTCCTGCTTGCTGCTGTCTGTCCTGCTTTAGGGCCCAGAGAAGTGCAGGATAAAACCTGTGGGATGGCCACATGTGTCCTGGGAAAGCAGGGATGTGCGGCTGGTGCAGGTAGATGACCAACTGTCACTGTTTGTCAGAGGAAGGAAGAAACAAGGACAAAGCTGCACAGCTCAAATCCCTTTCACACTTGGATGAGCACAGGAAGAGACAAAACCTCCCACTGGAAAGGGCTGTCACCTTAACATAGTTCCTCTCTGTGCAGGAAGCTCTGGATGCACTCCTGGAGTGCTCTTGGATATTCATGGCTCGAGGGTGAGGCAGGTAAAGAGGATCATTCCTGGTGGTAATGGGTCTCCTTCTCTTTGGTAGCTCCACTCCTGAAGACATTCAGCTTCTTGGGCTTTGAGATCGTGCGGCCTGGTCACCCCGCAGTCCCGTCGCGGCCGGACGTGATGTTCATGGTGTACCCCCTGGATCAGAGCTCCTCCTCTGACGAAGAGTAGCTGCAGTGGGGACTCCAGCGGGACCCCAACATGCTGTGGAGGGGAGAGAGGGTTCCACCTCCTTTCTTGAGGAAAGGGAAACCAAGTTTCTGTTGGACTGCAAGCGCATTTCTCATTGTTAGATTGGGCTGTGTATCCCCAGAGTTGACTCTCATTGAAACGTGTTGCCTAGAGAACTATCTATCACACATGTAATCATCACTAGGAAAAGGAAGATGTTTATGAACTGGCATAGAAGCTCTTCCCGTGCAGCTGCGTGGTGTGGGAGCCCTGGGGCCTGGGCCCTGCTCGGGGTGCGGCACCACCCCCGGGACTCCACCGGACCCACGGCGGTGCCTCCCACCTGCCCGGTGTGTGCTCAGCTGGGAGACAACGCTTTCATTTCCCACTCAAGACTTAAAGCAAATGGCCTGGTTTGGTGTGGGGCACGTGCAGGAGACGCTCGAGTTTATCCTTTAACACTACATTAAACCCCCCATGCGTCTCTGCTCCAATGCTGGTTTAACTGGTCTAACTTTTTTTCTCTTTTTTTTTTTTTCTTTTGAAACTTCTTGCTCTTCCAGCTTTTGTTTTACGCAGTCTTAACCCTGTTCCATGTTCCCACTGCACTATCACGGCGTTCAATAAAAGGGGCATTCAGATGAACTTCACACACCTGGGGCTGCTTATTTGGGATGAACAGTTTCCTGATGTGCACCTTGATGGTTGGGATGGTCCAAAGAGCCAGAAAAAGCTCCTGCCTTTACCCTCCACCCAGGACGGGTACAGAGCAGCCCTGGGCCCTCTCCTCTACTCCACCTTCCCAAAGGCACGAGTTCAAGGCTTGAGATGCTGCTAAAGGCTGTATCCAAACCAAAGGGTTGTGTGGAGGCAGGTAGTGGGATGGTCTCCCCATCCAAGGGCTTTCCCAGGATGGGGCCATGGTGCTGGCAGTAGGTCACATCCCTGCCCTGTCTAATGCTGGAGAGTCAGTGCTCTGTCCCTGTGCCATGGGAGCTCTATCCTGGCTGGCTCTGACAGGCCCCAGGGAAGGGGGATGTGTCACCTGTGTCCTTGGAGCCCATGCCCTCAGCTCTTCGAGCATGTGGGATTGTCCCTGTGTGCTCTCACATTCCATAACCACCATGGTCAGTGTTTCGTCAGGGGGAGTGAGGTAGGGCTGGGATACGAGTGTGTGTGAATAAATAAACTTTGTCTCTCTTTTGCCCTCCTTCCCATCCCATGAAACCAATGGGCCAGTGGCTCTGCTCCCTCCTCAGACCCTAAATGGGTTTAGAATCAGAGCTGGGCTGTGCCGATGGACCCCTGACAGAGGAGACCTGTGGACTGGGTGTTCCCTGGCTGAAGCAGCACCGAGTGCTGCTTCTGGCTTTTGAAGGGCCCAGTTTTATCCCTTCTTACAGCTGGAGCTGCCCCAGCTCCTGCCCCTGCATGTGCCAGGGCCCTGCTGCCACCACATGGTGCTCCCTCGGGCACATCCTGAAGGTGATGGGATGGGAACCACTTTGCTCCTTTACTAGTCAAGTGCAGGATCCTGGTTCATGGGAGCTGGAGTGAGGCTGATCTGAGCTCCTTAATGAACTGTAGTGACAAGGCTGTGCCACTGCACGTTCAGCTCCGACAATTCCAAATTCTCCCCTGCCCTGCCTCCAGCACAGGCAGGCAGATGTGGAGGTCTCAGATCACTGGTGTCTTCAGAAACACCCTCAAGAAAATGTGGGAGGTGCCTCTGCTGCCCCCAGGTGCTGCCTCTTGCAGGGATCAGCTCCGTGGTGGAGCTGGAGGAGCCAAGCCCTGCCCTGTGGTACCCCCCACTTGCCCAGTGCCTTCCCTGGGGCAGTGGTGGAGGGCAGGACCTTGGTGCCCAGAGATTCAAGCCTGGGGGGTTCTGCCCCAAATTATCCCCTCTGAGTTCAACTGCAGCACCCCCAGGAGCTGTGAGTGCCAGGGCAGAGTGGAGGGGCTGGATGCAGGGGCACAGGGATGCAGCCTCAGACCAATGAGGCTGCTTGAGCCCTCTCACATGCCGCAGAGATGGGGTAACCCCCTCTCCCACCCCCAAAAATCACTGGCCACAGCTTTTGGGGGATAAAGGACCAGACTTGGGGGGAGCAGGAAGAAAAAGCCACCCTCACAGGTTTGTGATTGTCTCTTAAAAAGATTTATTCTCCCTCCTTGCCCAAATGTACAAAGGCAAGAAGAGTACAGTTTGTATATATATATATTTATATATATATATATATAAAAAAACAAGGAACTCGGTAATAATGTACACTTTACAGAAGGGCAGAGTCAGGAAGACTGAAATGAAACCCAACACAGCAACGCCAATGGAAACAAGAGCTATAAACACCAACGGTCCGACACCCTGGCCAGGGGCCGGGCAGGGGGGACCCCCCCAGTGCGGGGGCCGGGTGAGGCCCCACGGGCAACAACTGACCCAGAGAACCCAGATACGTCAAACCTCAAACCTATTCTGCATAAACGGTTGTTTCATTTAACACCTAAAGGGAGACTCAAGTGGGACCCAACTGGGAAGGTGGGGAGCAGCCCCCTGACACCCTTCGACTGCCAACAAAGCCTGTGGCACCCTCCAAGCCCCCCCTGCCCCGACACCCTCCTCTGTGCCCCTGGAGCCGCTGGTGGGCCCCGGCCGTGCTGGGAACCAGGCTGTGCCGGACCGGCCGAGGCTGGAGGTAGGAGCAGCCACTGGGACACTCCTCCACGGGTGTGATGTGGGGCTCCCCCAAGCACCCCGACCCCTCCAGTCCCCAGCCCCGTGGCTGCGTGCGGCTCTGGAAGGGGCGCGGGGCGGGTGGAGCCGCCGCTGGGCACAGCCCACCCTGACCCCGCGGAGCGTGCTGGGGCACACAGCCCCGCCTCCTTCCAAAGACAAGGAAGAGTGGGAGAAAAATGAGTCGAACAACAAGAGCAGGCTGGGGCCACCGCGCTGCCAGCACCTGAACCAGGGCCGAGAGAGCCAGAGCCTCCTTTCCAGCTGGGTACAGTGGGATGGGGGAGAAATGGGGAAAGAAAACAAAACCCAAAACAACAGCTTTCAAACAATTGCTTTTTACAGTATGTACAGAGCCCGGCGGGCAGAGCATCCCCGTACAGCGGCCCTCGGGGCCGGGTGCGACATGGACACACACACACAACCGAGACCCACGGCCCCCATGTCCCCCCAGCCGGGCAGCAGGAGAGGGGGGAGAGCTGGGGCGGCCCAGCCGCTGCGGGGCCGAGGTAGAGTATCGGCCCAGGGAGAGCTGCTCTGGGGCTGGGGGCAGAGGACCAGAAAGCCCCTGTCCTCGGTGCTGGGGAACAGCCGGGAGCAGGGACCGGCTTCCTCCAGGGCCTGGTGCCCCCAGCCCCGGCACGAGGCCAGAGCAGGGACCAGCACAGCCCCACGTGCCTCTGGCAGAACCTAAGTGTGCTTGTTCTTCGCTGCGCCCTGCCCACGGCCTGGGGGAGCCGCCCTAAAAGCAAAACGTGGATAAAAAGGGGAGCTACAGCCACCCCCCAGCAGGATATGCTGCCCCAGGGTTTGGGGAGCATTTACCAGGGTAGGGGGGCAGAGGAAAGGCTGGAGGTGTTGCCGAGTTACAGCTCAGAAACCAATTTGAAAGTGACGGGCAGGAGCTTCAGGCAGGTCTGGACTGTGCACGGCACGGGGGTACCCCAGCAGCCCCAGGTGGGGTGACAGGCACAGCCCCAAACTCTGTGCCCCACTTGCCCCCAGCCCCATGGAGCCCTGGCCCCCCGGGGCAGTGGCTGCTTCACTGGGGCAAAGAGCTCTCCCAGCTCCCTAGCCCTGCTCCAGCCATTGGCCACACACCAGTGGCTCCTGCCCATGGACACAGAGCAGCGGGTGCTGTGGGCTGCAGGACCAGATGAGGGACTGGGAGAGGGAGAGCTTCACATGCAGCACATCCCTGTGCCCCACGGCTCTCTCCAGCCAGGCTGACACCACCTTCAGGCTCACAACAGCCCCCCCCCCAAGCCCATTGTGGCTCCATGTGAGCCAGCCCTTCCTTTCCTGAGACCCCACAGCAGGCTCAGCCCCACACTCCGAGCCCCCGCCTGCCTTGAGTCCCATCATGAAGCAGCAGCTCAAAGAGACACGGTGGGGTCCCAAATCCATCAAGAAACCTCAGTGCTTCTGTTTCCTCTTCATATGCACCAGACGGGCAAGACGCCTCCATCCCAAGCGCTGGTGCCCAGTAGAATAAATATTTCCGCAGGCACCAGCTCACCCACTCACCAAAGGGGGTGTGGGGGGCAGTCAGTGTGTGTCCGACGGGGGGGAGAAGACAGAGTCTGCCTCGGATCGGGGCAGGAACGTCAAGCAGAACAATTAACACCATTCAACTGATGTCTAAAGGAGTCTCCAGCGCTTCCCCATGTGAGCCAGTCACATGTCTTGTACAGCCCAGGCATCCCGGCGCTTCACGTCCTGCCACAACCCAAGGGCAAGTCAGCTCCCACGAGCCCCTGGGGCGATGGGCGGACCCTAAACCCTTGAGGGCACCCCCTGCATGCCCATCCCAGCAGGAGCAGAGCCTTACCGTTCTCACCTCCGGGGAGGTGGGTATAGGGAGGGAGTAGAGCCTTGCTGGCTGGCAACGATGGCTGTAGAGGAGAGACCTGCGGAGGAGAAGTGGCGTCAGGATTCGGCAGCCCAGGCCAGGCACCCAGCCAGACCAGGGAACAGCACAAGGGCTCCCACAGCCCAAGGGTGGGTCCAGCTCCCTCTCAGTCCCCCTGAGCCCAGCCCCAGCTCTCACCTGTTGCATAGGGCAGGTTGTACTGCGCTGGCAGCAGCGAGTACCCGAGGTGGTGGTGGTGGTGATGCGTCGAGAGCAGGCGCTGGGAGGGCGATGTGCGGGGCCGGTCGCCGCTCCGTTCCCCTGCTCCAGCTCCCCCGACGCTGCTGCAGCTCCCGCTGCCCCCCACCACCCCACAGCCACTGCGGTCCCGCTCCTGAGATGTTTTCTCACTTATCTGGAGAGGAGAAAGCAGACACGCTGAGGGACATGATCAGCCACTCTGGGGCACATCTCAGGGTGATACTCCCCACCTTTGCCCAAAGATCCCCCATGTGGGCTCACAGCCCAAAAGCCGTGGGCAGGACACAAGTCCTGTTTGAGGGCAGCTCTTTCCTCACCATGTCCAAACTCCATCTCCCAGCTCAGCCCAGCAGAAGCCATGGGATGGAGACAGCCCCTGCATCTCACCCACTAGCTCCAAGGCTATGGACAAGTGTCACCAGGTTCCTGCAGGGTTTGGAGGAGCCCCAGTGCTTCCCTGGGCCAGCCCTGCCCACAGGTTTGGCTGGTCCATCCCAAAGGATTTGTACTGTGGTAATACACCATGGCTGTGGGTCTCCCACAGCAGCAGGTACAGCAAACCCCATGGCAGGTGGAGCTGCTCCTAGCTGGGTACAGAATCCTAGGACTGTTCCACAGAGCTGGGCGAAGCCAGTGCGCTCCTGACCCTCACCGTGGGCGATTTGCTCTTGTAGTGGCTGGCGTGTTGCTGCAGGATGTCCAGGGCCTTGGACTCTGAGCTGGATTTACAGCTCACGCTGGGGCTGGCTCGGGACTTGTCGCTGTCGTCGCTGCCGGATGCCTTGCTCCCGTACGGAGAGAAGGAATAGCTGGAGGGTAGGTATGATCCTGGGGGGAGAAAAGCAGTCAGAGCACAGGGAGGATTCAGGCAGCACAGTGGGAGCACATGGCTCTGTATGTGTGCGAGAGGATGTCCTGCAGCTGCCCCCCATCCCGAGAGCAGGGACAGCTGGGAAGGGACGTCCCAAGGAAGGCCCTGGCTCCCTACCTGGGTAATTCTGCATCATGACGGTGGGCATGGCGCGGTAGCTGGGGTGGTTGGGGTCGTACGACTGGCTGTAGGAGTAGCCGTGCATGTAGGGGATGTAGGACTGGTGCTGCGTGAGGGGTGAGGACACAGGGACATGGACACTGGGCCTGGGGTCCTTCCCCACCATGCGAGGCTCCTCAGGGGGGGTCAGCTTGCACTCGGAGCTGGTGCTCTCCTTCCCGTCCTCCTTGGATGTGGCTTCTTTGCTTCTACTCCTTTCTTCCTTCAACTTTCTGTCCCTCTCCTCTTTCCACCGCTCATCCTCCGTCTTGATGTCCGAGTACTTTGCCGGGTACACATACGTCCACATCCGGGGCTCGGCTTCCTACAAGAACAGCCAACCATCAGAACACCTGCCTCCCCCCAGCCCTGCCTGTCCCAAACCCAGCCTGAGTTTGGAGGAGACCAGTGAACTCCACTCCTCTTCCCCGGGCTCTCCTTGGCCCATCTGTGGCCTCACAGCCCCATCCCTTTTCTGGGCCCCAAGGGAATCTCATGGAGTCCCACCATAAGCAGAGGACAACATGTGTTCTCCAAGGTGATGGTCCCAGCAGAGCCCTGTGGCAAAGCCACAGTGAGGGGCTTCCTCCAGAAGCAAACACCCAGCTGGGCTGGCGGACAGGGCAGGGCATTACCTGTCTGTACCAGAGCACAGGGTCCACCTCCGCTTGCCGGCCACACTCAGAGCCAGCCTTAGTCTCGGCAGCTTCCTTCCCGAGGTGACTGGCCTCGCTCAGCTTCACCTTGAGCCCCTCGGCGACCTGGCTGCCGGACAGCTTGGACGAGTCCTCCAGCTTGGGGATGATGACAGACTTGGCCATGTCAGGACCTCCCTGCTCCTTGGGCTTGTTCAGCCCTGACTTGACGAGGTCCGTGAGGCTTGGGGCTTTGGTCAGTGTCGGTGGCATTGGTGGCTTCTGCTTCCACTCCTCTTTGAGCGCTGCCTCCCTCTCTTTCAAGCCCAGGTCTGCCTTCTTCTCCAGTCCCCGCTGCTGCTGCTGCTCCAGGCTCTGCCGCTGCTTCTGCTGCTCCTCATACTGCTGGCGGTAAGCAGGGTTGGTGCTCAGCAGGTGAGCGTGGTAGCCCTGCTCATTGTAGCCGTAGGGCGGCACGTAGGCATACTGGTTGTAGTAGAGGGACTGCATGTACATGTTGGGGCGCTGCTGGATGACCGAGGGCTGCTGGCTGGAGCCACCACCAAGCTCTGCCTTCTTCTCTTCGCAGCCTTCGCTCTTCACCTTCACATCTGGGTTCTCCTGCTCCTCGTCCTTCTTCAGTTTCAAGGCCTGTGTCTCAGCCACGGACTGCCCGCTGGGGTTCAGGGGACCTGGGCTGGCCTGGGGGTAGCCTGGGGAATAGTACGATTCAAAGCCTTGGTAATAGGGAGACTCTTTGCTCTGAGGTTGTGGGGGGAAAAGAGCTTTTTTGGCGCCTTCCTTGACCAACTGCTCCGGATCCTTCGCCTTCACACTCTCCAGCTTGCCCTCCCCGTCCTCCCCAGCGTCGGAGATGTCTGAGTAGGCTGGGCTGTTGGTCTTCACTGAGCTGGCCTCTGCCCCGTTCTGGGTGACAACATGCAACGGGGTGAGGGGCTGGGCTGGGTTGGTGTTCTCCAGCCTGCTGGCACCGCCAATGGAGGGGCTGGGTGCGTTGTCGGTGAAGCTGTAGATTTTATCTGCCTCAGCCTTGATGCTGGCGAGCCGGCTCTGGTGGGGGTCGGATGAACCATTCAGCAGCCCCTCGCCTTTCATTCCCAGGTCACTGGATTCCCCCCGGAAAGGGCTCTTGCCTTCCTCCGCTCTGCAGGCTTTGCCAGGAGTCAAAGGGTTTTCCACCTCCTTGGGCTCCTTCTTCTTCTTGTCTTTCTTCTTCTTTTCCTTGGAAGGGGTGAGGGCAGGGTTGACAGTGAAGGGCTCTCCCATCACTGTTGGTTTGGGCTGGATAGGTTTGAGCTGGGGGCTGTTGGGCATGGTCTGGACCACAGTGGTGGCGAGGCCGGCGGATGAGCCGGGGCTGGCGGTGGTGAGGGTGGCGGTCTGGAAGGTGTAAATTGGCTGCGGGGGGATGGCTGGTGCAATGGGTCTGGCAGACTTCAAGCTTTTGGAAGGGATCTTCTCCTGTTTAGCACCAGAGGCCTTCTTTGACTTGTCCTTATCAACACATCGCTTCTCCAGAGAGTCAAAGTCGTCATTACTCGTCTCATCAGCCACCGACGGACCATCCTCAGAGCCATCATTGGACAGGGCACCTGGGTCCGTGTCCCCCTCCCCACCCACCTTCTTCTTACAGGGGACCTTGGTGCTGAACTTGCTGGATGGGGAGGGGCTGTGGGGCTCCATCAAGCGCACCTTGGGGGTGGCCGAGCGAGCTGGCGAGAGCGAGCCCTTCTGAGAGCCGGCGGCCCCGTTGCAGCTCCCAACGTCAGCGTGCAGGGAGGGCTCCTCACCATACTCGCTGTCCACGTCCGCCTCCAGCTTGCTGTCGTCATCTGTGTGCGCGTGGGCCTGGTGGTACTTCAGCCCATTGATGTGCTTGTACTTCTTGTTACAGTTGGGGTGGGGACAGTCGATGAGGATGGGAGAAGGGCAGTTGCGGTCCAGGACAGCCGGCTCCACCTTGACCGTGGCGGGCGGCACGGTGGCCGAGCCCATCGAGTTCGTGCGGATGCGTTTGCTGCCCTTGGAGTCCTCCGAGCTGGAGTTCACCTCCATGTCAGAGAGGGGTTTGCTCTTCCGCTTGGTGACGGAGGAGGGACTGGCCTTCACGTCTTCGGCCGTGCCGCCAGGTGGGGTGCGGTGGTCCGAGGAGTTCTGGCTGCCCCGGCGCCCCTTGCTGTTGGCTCCTGCCCGGGTCTTGCTGCTGTTACTGGTCCCTTTGCTGTCCGAGGCGGTGGCCGCCTCGTTCACTGGCGTGTTGCTGTTGGGGCGCATGCGCTTGCCCCTGCCCCGGCCATTGCGCATCTCCAGGTCGCTGGTGGGAGAGTCACAGAACCTGCCGGGAGGAGGACATGGGAGTTTTAATAGAGAGACGGTCGTGCTGATGGCACGGTAGGGACCCCCTTTTTCCCCTTGCTACCAATCCCACAGACTCATCCCCCCACTGGCCAATAAAGAGAAACTAGAGAGGTCCACCAGGATGTGCTCAACCATCCTCACTCCCCCAGGACAACGGACCTGTGACTGCGAGGGCAAAGAGCCACAGGAGCAGCTAATTTGTGCAGGCAGGAGATGCCAACCCCTGTGGCAGCCCCACAGGCACAGAGCAGAGTGTATGGGGGCTGTATGGGGCTGGGTTTGCCCTCAGTGCCCAGAAGCCCCTGAAGCCCACCACCCACTTACCGGGGAGGAGCCCAGTCGTGCTGTGTGCAGTCCAGCAGCGTCCCCACGTACGTCTTGTTCCTCCAGGTGACATTGACCACCAGCATCCCTGCAAGGCAAGGGGAAAGGGTCAGATGGGGCCAGGTTTGATCTAGCAGTGTCAGGGACCTGCCCCTTCAGACAGGCAGGAGGAAGAGCTCAGCCCTAGTGCCGGAGGAAGGCAGACAAGGGATCTTGGGCTTTTGGGAGAGATGAGACTCTCTTTTGGGAGAGGCTGGAGGGGCACCAAAATGGGAGCTAGAGACCTCCCATCTCCCAGCTCATTCCCTCTCTCAGCACGGCTCTGGCCGGCATCCACTCAGCCTCTCCTCCTCTTCCCTATTTTCGTGGGGATGCTAAACCCAGCCATCCCCAAAAGACTGTGGGATCTGGTGGGGAGGCTGAAGATCCACTATAGCTGCATGTGCATTCAGGTAGGGTAAGGAAGGCAATCTCTAGGGAGTGAGGGCTGGGAAGCCCCCAGGGGAAATGCAGAAAGCCCCCAGCAAGCCTGTGGACCCCAATGTGGAGCTGCAGACACACCAGTGGGGCTGTGACGCCCCCCGAGTGTGGCCATGAATCTCATGGCTCTCTGGAAAATGTCATTACTGCCACTAGATGGCAAGCTGAGCTCAGCATTCCCACTCAGGCGACTACTCCTGGCAGGAAAACCCAATCCTGGTGGAACGACCCCATGTTGCTTTGCTCCAGCATCTCCAGCGACACCCCTTTGCCCTATATCTCCACTTGGAGAAGCATCTATGAGGCCACATCCTCCTATCTCAGAGCCAAGGCATTCAGAAAACTCGGAGTTTCAGCTTTCTCCCACTAATTCAGAAGAGGAGCAGCCTGGCTCACAGCCATGCCAAGGCCGTGGACTCTCAGCACCACTTTTGGGAGGCAGAGGGGTCTTCCACAGCATCCCTCAGCATTGGGGCACCTCCTCCCTGCCATAGATTGCTGATTTCCGCACTAGTGGAGCGGAGTCCGTTGTGCCAAGCACGTTTATCCAAGCAAGGTAAAACTCGGGAGATAGGAAACGCGTTCACAAGGGTTGATGAGCGCAGCGAGATATACGGCCTCGGGAGATGGATGGAGCTGAGGGAGCCCGGAGCAGCTGTGCCTGAAGCATGTTTATAAATCTCAGCCTACAATCCCCGTTGTGCTGTGCCAGCAGCCAGCTGCAGACTCCGGCATGGATAATACATGGAGCCGAGGCCCGACATGTGGGTTTCCCTCAGAAAGAGAAATGAAATTCAGGTCTTCTCTTTCTCCTTCTCCTCCAGGAAAACATTGGGAGCAGGTCATGGGAAGACACAGTGCCAGCACACGGCCAAAACCCACAACTGGCTCATCCCTGTGAGCAGGAATGGCTGAGTCCTGCCTTTGGAGGAAGGTGCTGGGGACCTGCCTTAACATGGACATGGGCAAGATATGATGATGGAGATGACCTGAGATAGAAACCATGGCCCCACACGTGGAGGGATGGATAGGAAGAGGGGAATGCTAGTCCCAGGCATCCCAAGAAGGGCACATGGAATGTGCTCTTCTATCTCTGTTCCTCCTAATGCAGCGTTTTTTGGCAGGCAGGAGCCTGTCCCCCTTTCCTTAAAACCCAAAGAAGCTGCTGGCTGCATCCTGTGCCCCAACCCAGCCCCACCATTCCCAGGACACCCCTGTGGGGCTGCTGTGGGATGCTCCCAGGAGCTGCCCAAGGACCTGGCAGCCACTGAGGAGCAAGTAGCCTCAACCTGGACCCCACCCCTCCCAGTCCCTCTGCCCTCCCTGGCAGTTCAATCCCTCTTTGAGCTGGCGAAGCCCACATGCACCGCTGGAAGTTAATTGCATGACAAACCACTGGAGTCCCTTATGTATCCCAGGGCCAAAGTGTGATATTAGAAAGGAGGTGCTGGCGTTTTTTCACTCCCTGCCACCGCAATCACAAGAGAGAGATGAAAGAGGAAAGGGCGAAGCGAGCCAGCACCGTCCCTCCCTTCCCTGTTGGAACACCAGCCCTCCAACACACATCAGCCTATATTTAACCCACTGCAACCAATCATACCAAATCCCTTCCTAATCCTCCAACAATAACCCAGGACAATTTAAACCCTGGGATAGATCCTAAGCAGCTTTTTTCACCCACCGTGTCCCCCTCCCATGGCAGGATGATGGGCAGGCACAGGCATGGCAAGAGTGGGCAGTAAGGACATAACACCCCCGCACCTCTGAGAATGGAGATGCTCTTGAAGGGGAGGAATCCCACTTGGATAACTCCAATCCCACCTGGTTTCATGGGAAGATGAGACCTTTGAAGCTCTTAAGGAATCAACACCACTCAAGTCTGGGTGCAAACCACTCAGCACCCTGGTCACCAACTGTTCCCATCACTGCAGAGTCGTATTCTGGCTGGAAAAATTAAGGGTGGGCGATGGTGTAAGGTTGCCATCCAGGTTGGCAATGTATGAAAAAATCCTGGGATTATGCAGGATGGAGGACAATACTGCTGTGGGTACAAGGAGCCATTGTATTAATGCACGTTTCCCCTCTTTTCAAAGATGAATCCCCCAAGTCCAACCAAGAACATCCCCATGAATTCCTCCTCTAGCTGCATCACTTCCAGAATGCCATGACTTTGGGATGCCCCTTCTTCCATGAATTTCTCCTCCAGCTGCATTGTCTTTACAAGGCTTCTTCTTCACTTCCCCTCCAGCTGCATCACTTTCAGGATGCTCCAGCTTCTCCATAGACCCTGCACATGTGCAAAGATCCTGGCCGTAGTGCCCAGGTTTTGGAACACAACACCCCAAGGTCTTCATGGTCAGCATGCCAGGAAAGCAGGGGACACCATGGGGCAAGGGATGGCCAGCACAAGTGTCACCTCACCCACTGAGGAGCAATCACTCACCAGTGACCATCAAGGGCAAAATTTTCCTTGGGGAAATTTTCTGTCATACCTGACAAATTTGGTAGCCTTCTACAACAGAGTTCCAGTGCTGGTAGATGAGGGAAAAGTGACTGATGTCATCTATCTGGACTTGTGCAAAGCATCAAACACTGTCCCACATGGCATCCTTGTCTCTAAACTGGACAGACATGGATTTGATGGATGGACCACACAGTGGATAAGGAACTGGATGGATGGTCACACTCAAACAGTTGTGGTCAATGGCTTCCCTGTGAGGGTGGTGAGGCCCTGGCACAGGTTGCCCAGAGCAGCTGTGGCTGCCCCATCCCTGGAAGTGTTCAAGGCCAGGTTAGATGGGGTTTGGAGCAATCTGGTCTAGCGGAAGGTGCCCCTGCCCATGGTCCCATCCAACCCAAACCACCCTGTGATTTTATGATTCTATGAAACATCATTAAAGCAAATGAGAAAGCCACATTCTCGCTCCACACTCTTCCTGCATCAGTCTTAAAAACACACCTCCTGATTCTGGACCCAATCAGACACAGATAAGAAGACTGTAGTGTGTATGCAGAGGAAGGTGTATCCCTTTGGAATCCCCAAAGCCCACCCACTGCAATGCAATCTTGGCACACCCTCCATTTCAAACATCCTTGGGCACTACCCAAGGCTGTGGGTGACGATGTTTGACGTGCAAAGCCGTCAAATGTGGGTCAGGCTTCCTCACAGTTACAGTTAAACCTTCCAGTACTTGCCCTCCCATTTGTCTCCATTCTCTCCCCATCTACTGTATCTTCCTCCTGCTCCAAGCAAGGACATGTCCACAGTGGCATCTTCCACCCCTGAAGATGCTCACACTCCATCATACCCTCAAGAGATGTTTGCCAAAGGACAATCCAAACAATTGTGCAATGCTCGGCCTTGGGTGACCTGCCACCACCATCCCAGCATGGAGCTGGAGGAAGGGACGTGGAGTGTACTGACATTTTCCAGGTGCTGCCACCCCACGATCCTTGTTGCTCAGAGGTTTTGTGCTTGTTTTGGCTGCGAACAGCACTGGTGTGGTGCTGGATCCTAGTCTGCTCACAGGGAGCAGAGCTGAGGAGGTGCTGTGCTCTGAGCCAGGTGGCACCAGCTCCACCAAGGGGGATGGAAGGGACCTGGCAGCTAATGAGGCAGCAGAGTGATGTGGCAGGGAGCACAAAATCATTGCCCCCTGCCAATTCCTGGTTGAGAGGTAGTGCCATGGGAGCCATTTTTGTTCTCCCCTCCCTTTTCCTCTGCTCATTCTAGAGAATGAGATGATCTTCAAGGTCCATCCCAACCCAAACCATTCCAAGATTCTGTGATTCTAAGTTTGATGCAAGTCAAGAGCTGCTCCTGCTGCCCACAGTCCTTCCAAGCGGCTCAGTGAGGCTGCTACATCCCAAGGGAGATGGATTCCTCTGGGTGAGGTGCTGAGATCCTTCTGGAGATCTGGAGGACAGTCTCCAGGTGCTGGAAGCACCTCATTTGGCTGTAAAGATATGCCCTTGGTGTAGCTTTCTCCCCTATATCCTTTGGGTGAGAGGAGATGCTCATGACATCGGAAACACTTCACAAGCTCCAGCTTTGGACAGCCAGGTCAAGCATCACCCTTGACTCCCACCAGCAAAAATGGGAAGGCAGGAGGGAGATGCTAGGCAAAAAATAGGGATGGTTCCACCCTGCCTTTTCACTCAAGGACGGGAGATGCCGCTATAACCAGAGCCAACACATGCAGCCGACCAGAAGCAACCAAAGGAAACGTTAGGGCTCGTCTTCTGCAGGGCTGGATGTGAAATCCTTGCTCCCCGACGGTGGCAACCGTCAGCAGCCGGCAGAGAAGGATCTCTGTGTGAGTTCACTGAATTACCACAGACTAAAAATATCGGGGCTGTGGGAAATGGCAGGACGCCTCCAAGGCACGCTCCGAAACGCTGGCTGCAGAAGTGAGGGGTAATGCAGACGGACAGGCAGACGGGCACAGAGCTTCACGGTGGGATGAGGAGCAGGGGAAAAGGGAGGGGAGAACAGAAACTGCTCTCATGGCACTGCCTCTCAACCAGAAATTGGCAAGGGAGAATGATTTTGTGCTCTCTGCCTCAGGGATATTCAGTTTATCCCTCCTGGCATGGCCACCATAAGCCTCTCCTGATTTCCATCCAAAAAAACCCATACAAGCTCTCATCAGCTTTGCTGCTGCCCGTGGGGGTCTCTAGCAGTCCTGGGATTTTCAGGCAACTCTGCAGCTCTGGGGATTTTGGGTTGAGGAAAGTCACAACAGAAGAATAGACTGATGGGGACAGGGAGGTGGGGGAGCCCCGTGAGTGGGGGGTGCCGATGCTCCTCTGCAGTGCTGCATGTCCCAGCCCCCAGCCCGGCTGTGCCTCAGGTTCCTCACTGAAGGTTCTGCATCCTGTAAAGGGATGGGGCTCTTGCAGACCTGGAACCAGCAGTGCCGGCGCTGGGAGCTCAGCAGAGACCTTCCGCAGGTCTCCTCAGAGTACCTTCGCCCAGCAGATCCCCCAGTCCCTGAGATGTGCAGAGCAGGGCTCTTGAACATTCCTGCTTCTTGTTTCCTTCTCCCAGATTTTGCAATGTGTGATGTCCTTCTCCCTTGAAGCACCATAAAAAACACATAGCTCCCAGCTGCCTCGATCCGGATGAGTTTTTCCATATGGAACAGATGGTGAAGCAGAGAGGGTAGAGGAGTGCAGAGGTCCCCATTCCAAGCTAGACATCCCAGTCTTCCCCAGCGTGGTCCATGCACTCCTCTCTTCCCAATAGCTCAGGTGCTATTCCTCAATATGCTTTTTCCACGGGGAATAACTTCTATGCTCACATCAGGGGCCACTGCAGCACTCAGTCCTGCACCAATCATTGTTTCAAAACCAGTTTCCCAGTAGGGAGAGGGGGAAGGCAAACTGGGCCTGTCCCTGTCCTCTCAAAGCACAGGGTAAGAAGGGAACCCCACTGAAAGCAGCTCACAGGAACACAGATTTCAGTTCAGCTTCCACTGAGGATAAAGGCAGTCACAGTGAGGAGCAGCCAGGGATAAAAGCCAACAGCTTTGTTCTCTGCATGGAATAGCGATGGGAGAGCGGGAGCAGATGTCCAAGAGGAGTGCATGGATACCTGGCTGAGATGACTGTCAACCAGCCTCCACCACTGCTGCTCTCTCACCTTCGTGCTTCCAGGCTCTTTCTGCTTCCAGACACAAGTACAAGGAGCTCACCCCGCACCTCCCAAGGCAGAAACCTCCAGCACCCCAGCAAGGTTGGAGGGAAGGTCGGATTCCAGTGCTTGCCGTGGGCTGCTGAGCCACCTATTCATCCCTGCGTTCCTTGGCAGAGCCTCAACAGCAACAAAAACCCATCAAAGAACCTGGGAAAGCAAACCAAGCTGTGCACAGATGAGACGAGCTCCAGTGGAAAAAAAAGATTGGATTGGCTTGGCAAGAGAGCCGAGAGGCTGATCTCCCGCAGAGTCGATTTTGAGAGCTCCGCTGGTGTTTTTTAATCCAGCAGGAGATTTCTGCTGCCTCCCAGGGTTTGAGCGTTTTTGTGACAGACCTGCGGGTTGCCAAGCAAAAATGAAGTCAACTCCGTTGAATTCCCGTGCCGGCTGGCACGGCCTTTCCCCGGCACCTCCGGAACAAGTCAGCTCTTGTCGAGAGGCAGAGAAATGGCAGCTCAGATTTTTGCCCGCTGTCTGAGCAAGGAGAGAACACAACGAGTGGGGCTGACGCAAGTATTGGCCCGTTACTCCCTTTGCCGGACGGATTACAGGCCGCTCCCACACGGCTCCTCTGTCCTGACCACCCAGCTGGTGGCGGGAAAGCCCAGGATGTGCCAACAAATGGCACAGCAGGGACATGGGAAGGAAGGGACTGCCACAACTCCACCATGACACTGGTGGAGAGCAAGGAGCTCTGTGACACTTACCGTCCTCCGTCTCCTGCCAGACAATGCCCTCCAGGTTCACGCTGGTCCCGGGCTCGCAGGGGCCCAGGCACTCGGGCTCGGTGGCCAGGGCCACATCACAGGTGTTCACTCCCACCGAGCGGGTGCGTACCATGATCTGCTCGCACGGCGACGAGATGTCGTTGTTGACCACAGGCACGAGGAGGTGCAAGGGCAACACCGCGGGCGTAGAGACCGGAGACTCCATCTGTGGGGAAGGAGAAACACGTGGTCACCGTCAGGAATACTGTCGGGAATATGGAAGGGAGAACAAGAATCAACAGGTATCTACATTCCTGGAGAACCACAAGCCCAGGGCTGCCACCTTCAGTTGACGTCCCACACCCTGTCAGAGGACAAGGATCTCACAGGGCTGTCCCACCCTGGTGTGCCCATACCCACGTAACCTTGGGGAGCCGGCACTTTGGAGTCACAGAGATCACACCCAGAAATCCTGCAGGAGATATCTGTGCTCCTGCTTGAAAGAGCTTCTGCCAAGTTCCTTCCCCGACGGCTTCTGTAATCATCCCTGCTGGGGATGCCTCTTGGCTATGGCTCAGATGTTAATGCAGCCAATGACTTTGGACCTGATGGCTCATTAGAAGAGCTTCTGCTCAACTGGCAGGACAGGACAAACGAGTAGTGGTCCCCTTCCAGCACCAAATCTACCCTATGACCACCTGAAGACGCAGTCGCTTGGATCATATCCCTCTTCCCTGTGCAAGTGTCTGCTTTAGAGCCTGATCCAGCCATTGTGCTCTCCTTGCACATGGAAACCACATTCCATGACCAGAGCTGGGCTTGGAAAGCCAACAAGCCAACATGCCAAGTGAAAGCCCAGCCAAGCCACCCTGCCGCTGACAAGCCAAGATCCTTGGCTGCTCTGCCATGAAGCAGATTACAGCAATGTCAGGAGCAGGATGGCTGATGGGCTGTTTCTGCACTGGCCAAGGGAAGGGCTGGGGGGGTAATTTCCTGTCCTTCGGGGTTCACCAGCCAAGCCAGGCACAGCCAGCCAGCCCCTCGCCTTGGCTCACGAGGATCTGCAGCAGCTGTGGGTGAGCTGCTCTTCCTCAGCTCAGATCTTCTCTCTTCACCATCTGGATTTTGATCAGATGTTGAGCAACCTCAGAAGAGAAGCAGACTGAAGAAACTCATCACATCATCAGTGAGCACTCACGTGGGTTATGGTTTCAAGCAGGGGAAGATCCCTCTAGAGCATCCAGTACTACACCCAGAGAGTCCCCCTAAATCTCTGCTGAGGGGAGATACTATAGATCTGGAGAGCCCAACTTCGTGGTCACCAAGTGTAGGTATGACACCAGCCCATGACCACTTCCATCCTTGCTGCTGACTCCCACCCTGGTCCTGACCAGTTACCAAGTTCACCTGCTCCCCTCTCTTGCTCCCAACACCTCTATCCTTTAATCTGACTCCAGCAGAACCTTGCATGTCCAACCTCACTTGCCCCACACAACACAGCAAGTGGCTGGAGCATCCCAGCTCCCCACCAACTCCTGACCCCACAGAGCCTCCCTGCATCCCCAGCGACACAAATCTCTAGGCACAGGAGCAAGGAGGAGAACATCACATCTGCCAGTGCCTTCTGCCTGCTCCCACAGGGGTGACTGCAGGCAGGGGGTGCAAATGTGACCCTCGTGAAGAACTGTGAGACCTTCTGGCTCTGCCAGTGCAAGTGGATTTGCTCTTCCAGCAGGAGAACACAAAGCATCTTCTGTCTGCAGCCCTCTCCTTGTCCTCCTGCATCCATCATCTCTCCAGACAGCTCGTCAGAGCACATGCACCCCACTGGGCATTCAAGATGGCCCATAGGTCTGAAGCAGCAGTGGTTGGACTACATGTTCCCCTCTGCCAGTGGCACAGCTTGTGTTCCACAGCTCTTTTCCCCACAATTACCTCCAACCTCCCACCAGCAGGACCAACTCTCCCCCAGGAGCCCAACCTCACCTCCAAGGCTGCCCAACTGCATCCCATGGGATTAGAGGAAGGTGGTTTTGGCATAAAACAACCCCAGGAGGCTGCCAGAGGAGCTGCCAAGAGGCTCCCACCCCAAAAAAAAATCACCCCCCCAAAACACAGCAACCTCATCTCACGCATCTCGGTGGATCCAGGACAAGATGCTCCAAGGAAGCGTGAGGCTCCTTTGAAGGGGCTCCTCAACGCCACATTTTGCAAACCACAAGCCAGTCTCCAGCAATGGGAGAGCCAGGGAGGAACCAGGCAGGATTGCCTGGCTCAGGTGGGCACCAGGAACAGCCCAGGGGGTGATGGGGACCGCTTGCCCCCATTTCCCCCATCGCCCTGGGAGCGGCGGCTGCATGTGCACGTCAAAGACCTGTGGGTTCTGAAACCGTTCAGCTTCCTTCCACTCTGCAACAGAAACCACAGCGCAGCACAGGAGCGTTTAATTACAGTTCCAGCTCTGCTAATTATCGCCCGGTCACATTCGTAATCTGCATTATGCCATGGTGCATAATAAGCAGCTCGCTGAGATCTCTCTAATAAGCGAGGCGGCTTGATGGGATTTCATATCTCACCCTGCTCTGGAACAAATAGCCTCTTTCAGCAGCTGTGGGGAGACAAGGCGGCTCTCCTGCTCCCTCGCTCAAAGCTCCAGAGCAAAACAAGAAGGCCCAGGGTGGTTCTTCAGGGGTGAGGGCAGGAACAGAGGTTCCTCACTGGAACATATCCGAAAAAAGCCAAAAGCCAGGCTGGAGGACAAGACAGATGGATCAATTCCTGGATTCACCTCCCCCCCCTGCATGTGTCCTGGTGGCACAGTATTTCGTCCTCCTGCTTTCCCAAGCAAGGTCAGGAGATGCAGGATGGCTGGGGGAGCCCTGGGTACCATGGAGCAGCTCTGCCAGCCACTCTCCCCCTCAGTGGGCACCCAGCTCCCTCCACCTAGGGAAATGCTGGCAAGGGGGTGGTGGGCAGCACTCAGCCTGCAGAGCAGTGGCTTTCACATTGCCTCCGGCTGTCAGGGATACACTAGTAGAGATCCCTGGCTGCCAAAGCCAGCTATGCACCTTTTGGCCACCCCCCTTAAGACTTCTAGGCCCTAAATCCCCTTTGCAGAAGGAAAATTTATTTCTTTCCAAGCTGGGTAGGCTCTAAGGTTAAATGCTGGCTACACACTCGCTGCTGGAGGGAGCTGCTGTGTCTCCAGCCACCCCTGTGCAGGAGTTATGTGGGGTGAAGCCTCCCGGTGCCGGCGCTGGCCGTCCGTGGCCACCCGCCGCTGCCTCCCCTAATGAAAGCCCTTTGTGTTTCTGGTGGAGGCTTTCCCATCACGAGGAACGTGCTTTCACCACCGCCGAGGACAGAAGTGGAACTGAGCCAAGCCTGGGCGGCGGCGGCCAGAACAGGCGCTGCTCGATGGGGGAAAAGCAAATCCAGGGAGAGTCCGAGGCAATACCGCCGGCACCATGCAATGCCGGGCTCTGGGGGGGTAATTAAAACCTACCCCTTGTTATAGCCCCTGTTGGAAGGTGGGATGGGGTCCCACATGAAGGGAAGCACAGTGTGGGTGCTGGCATAGGGAGATGCACACAAAGCAGCTCCTGCCATCTTAGAGCTGTGCCAGCAAGGGTTCGTTAGCATCAGTCATTAAAGGGGCACCATGGCACCAATCAGCTATTGGGAGAAAGAGGCCAAACCAAACATAAATACACCCCACAAATTTTGATGCTGCCCCCTGAACCACCTAGACCACTCATTCATATTTATAAGAATTTTGGTTTGCCCCAGTAATCAAAGTCTGGCAAGAAAAGTGCATTTTGGAGCAATAAGAGCCAAGAGTGATGCCAAAACCCCAGAGAAGAGCAACCAGCAGAGATGTTTGTGGTGCATCTACAAGGGCAGAGAGGATGTGAAGTGTAGGGCACCCCCACTCAAGGCAATTATATGGCGTGGAAAAGGCTCCAGAAGATCCCCTCCTCAAACAGCACAGGTGGCACCAAACCCTGACTGTTTGCTGGCTGAATTTCTCCAACAAGAAAGCAGCCAATAAGAGCTTCCAACAAATCCACACATGCAGGGAAATAATGATGGCACAAGCAGTAGGACCAAGGATGGAGCTGGAAGTGTGGTCTGGGGCACTGATCCCAATGCTGCTGCCTGTTGCTCTTCCCTCTTGCTATAGTAGGAGGTTGAGGTTGCTGACACCAAGATGTGAAAAAAGAAATCTGTTCTAGAAGACAGTTTCCCTTCCTTGGATAAACCCCAGCTCAAATAAGTGAAGCCAGTTATTTCTATGGACCACAGGAATGCAGTCAGGGAAGACACTGGGTACCTTAGCTGGCAAATCCAAACCCACAGGACAACAGGGCAGCTGCTCCGAGAAAAAAGGATTGACATTTCCGACAGCCCCCCTAGCAAGAAGCAGTAAATGCCACAAGGAAGGATCAATACTTCCATGTGCTCCCACATGTGCACAGGGGAGAGGGCTCAGCATCACACTCCTTGAGTTTGCTCCACAGAAGAGAGGAGAGCCTGCAACCTCCTGGCCAGAGCCATCACTGAAGAGCCGGGCAATTAGGATGGGAAGTAAGGATTTTTAAGGAGCAGAGGTCCCAGTTTCCCAGCCCCAGGCTGGGTGGGAGACGGTGAACACATTCCCAGACACTCCGGACTGGTTCTGCCACCCAAGACTTTCACTGTCTCCCTGAAACCAAACCAGGAAAGGCCAATTCCCCATCACAGTTCTTGGCAACTTGTTCCTGGTGCTCCTCACCATCTGTTCCCACCCCCCAGACACCTGCGTGAGATTCATGGCATCTCCCAGCCACAGGGTTGCTGATGCCAAGGTGTAACAGGAAGGCTCTACCTACAAAAGGTGCTTCCCTGTCCTCTCCCGCCCATGCCAAGCACCCCAGCTCTGAGGATTTCTGCACAAAGCTCGTGGCCCCAACGTTAGCACCGTGTGTATTCCCCTGGGCCTGAGGCCTGATTAAAGGACCCACTCTTTTTATCTTATCTTATACACTAAATTGGCCTGGAGTCTTTTTCTCCACAGCCTCTTTAGGATACAGTTTGGCACCGCTGAAAACAGACTTGGCCATAGTTAATGGGAATATCGGGGTGCGACATCCTACCCCATAATGCCAGAGGTACAACTCCCACCACGGCACCAGTGAGGGACTGATCCAAACAGCCAGGTGATACAAACAGCTGGATGCCTATCAA